GGGGGGGGGGGGGGGGTTGAGATTTGAGTCATCCCCACCTGAGATAAAATTTCAGGGTGTCCCCCGTATCTGGGGTGGCTTATGAGGAAGCCCTCCACCACCTATGTTCATCCTATTTATGCCAATAGTTCGTGTCTCGTGAGATTAAAACAAAAGTATATAACAAATATACAGGCTATATAACAAATATACAGGCTATATATCAAATAAACAGGCTATATAACAAATATACAGGCTATATAACAAATATCCAGGCTATATAACAAATATACATGCTATATAACACATATACAGGCTATATAAATTACTAATACAATTTTTAAAGAATGTAATTTTCAAATAATAATTGATAGAAAGTCAAATACATATAATAACACCTTAAGTGGCGCAGCTTGGGCTAGAGCCGCCCCCGTCAAGATTTCTGCAGTACACCCCTCCGACGAAAACAACTCGGCAGTTGGCCGAAAATGCCGCCCCTCCATATATGGAAAAAGGACCGCCTATTGCGGCCCACCTCTTTCTACGACACTGAGCATCATTTTCCCATTTGAAAAAAAAGAAAAAAACAACATTTTTTCAATTTAAAAAAATCCATAAATTTATAATATTCGTAGCCTCGTCGTCAAAGTCAAAGGTTGTGGGGGGGGTGATGCTTATTAAGACTCATGAGGCTCAAATACACAGACAACAAAAAGCGTTCCCTCCTTGGTTAGGTTAACCAACGCCTACCTCTTAGGGGGAAAAAAGGCTGTCATTTAGTGGCGTAGCTAGGGTGGGCTATGTTTTATGCCGCACCCCCCCCCCCCCCTCCTTCCTTTTTTGTGTGCTACGAAACATCCCATTGAAGCTGTTTACAAATCAATGTTTAATAAATACCGCGACAAGGATGGCGTCATAGAAGTTGATATCACCCAGGGTGCAACATCAGAACCAGCACGAACACTGATGTTAACAAAAAAAGGTTTGCCATGTAATGGCGGAAATCTATTTATAGAAGATCCGGGCGTACAGTCTAGTCAATCTTATTAAGATGTTTCTAAAACATCATCTTGGCATTCGGTGGGGCCAATCTCTCCACAGCTGTTCGGTACTTCTACCTTAATGTGAGCCAGCGTGGTGGCTCTTAACCAAGGCGAAAACGTGTTTACACTTTTATTTTGACGAAAGATTTCATGCAAAAAAACAGTTACTGCTATATAAGTGCGGAAATACGATGTCAGAAGCTATGCGTTACGTAAACACCCTAAAAACAAACACGATGTAATGCGATGTGACGTTTTCCGGTCTGAGATACGACTGATTTACTCTCCTTTTATTTGTGGGTGGGTGTTGGGGCAGGAGTACAAGCAAGCTGCATGTAGATGATGAAATACTAAGCACACGATATGATGGAACAAACAGATATATTAATATTAATAATTTACCTGTCCTTTTCTGCGGAGATGACTTTTGGCCCACACGTTCTTCTTGGTTGTTTTTTTTTTTTTTGGTGGGGGGTGGGGGAGAGGAGGGGCTACATCGCACCTCTCATATGTAACAGCGCATATATAACTACTACTGAACTCATTTCGTCCGAACTGCGACATATTGCTTCTACTTCTTGTGACTTCTAGCCACTAATTGATAATACTTCAACGATGAAAAAAAATTATGCATTTT